CGCAGCAGGAAAATAAGGAGGTGCTAGTGACCTCCGTGGCTATCTGTCAGGGGTGCTTCTGACCAAACTGTTTATCCTGAGTCCTAGGAGGAAAGTCAAGTTCCAGACAACCCAAGATCCAGCCAGGCTTTGTACTCTCTGTATAGCTCTTGAGGGGCTTGGAAGAGATGGGCTGGTAGAAACAGGCCAGATCATCACTGCTCTCCTCCCTCATCAGCCCGACTCCGAGGTCGCAGAGGCCGGCCGCTGCCTGGAAGTGTTCTTTGAGGGCTGGTTGAAGGAGATCTACCCAGAGAAGCGGTTTGCCCAGCCACAGCAGGAGGACTCGGACTCCGAGGAGGTGTCTAGTGAGAGTGGGTGTTCCACTCCCCAAGGCTTTCCATGGCCCCACTACGTGCAGGAGGGCATCCAACCAAAGAGGCGGCGGCGACATATGGTACAGGGGGCTGCATGGTTGAGCAGGCAGGGTGGGGGGCACCTGAGCACCATGTACAGAGCAATCTACAGTTAGGCTGCTCAGGTGGCAAGGAGACAGGAGACCCTGAACCCTCACTTCTAGCCCTTTAGCTGTAAGGAAGCAGGAAAATACAGGGCTCATCAACTCCAGTAACCAATGAGGCTTAAAAACCAGGAAAGTGCATGCACCTGTCCAGTGTCACCCAGCAAATTAGCAGCAGAACTAGAAAAAAACAGAGACCAAGAGATACTGTCTCCTAGCTCAGTGTTGGTTGTACTAAATGCCATTATGATGCCCAGAAAAAGAGAAGTGCCTGGCCAAGTGCCTGATCTCTACTTGGGTTTGAGGAAGGAAGGAAGGGATCTTTTTCAGCTATAGGAAAGGAAGGAGAGCGATTGGCTTGCAGCAGAAAGGGCTCCTCTGACATGTTGGCTGGTCCCACCTACGTAGACCTGAACCACCAGTGCAGTACTGCTTAGTCCCACTGACATATACTATGTGGCCAGCCATCTCCAGCTGTTTACAGTACTTAGCGCACGAAGCTTAGGGGCTTTAGAGAGTTTTGCTATTGCATTTCTAGAACAGAATAAAATACTTTGGAGAATCCCAATCTTGACACTTAGCCTTTTTATGTTAATATACACTACATTGGCTATTACAATTCCAAATACATATGTATGTGCTTTTTTTTGTTCTTTCAGGACAATGAAAGAGCTAAAAGAATGTCGTTCCGCTTGGCCAACAGCATCTCCCAGGTCTGAGCGCTGGAAGGAGACTGAGCACTCTCGCAGTTGGTGCCCCACCCTGTCGACCATTTCTCCCCATCTTTCAGCTTACTCTCTTCAGACTGCCAATGTGAGATGAGTTTGGTTGAGCTGTGTAGTGCTCTTCTTTGCCATTTGCATCTACAGCATTTATTTGGGAGGCATAGTGCACCCACTACAGAGATTTCAGTAATAAACAGAAGAGAGAGAGGTGTTTCTTCTTACCAGAGTAGTCAAATGTTCAGGATCCACTTGACAGACCATGCCTGGTCAGGCTCGAGAGAACCTACCTTCCTCGGTGAATTCTTTCTACTGAGGGAAGCAGACATTTCTCACCTTTCAGTGTCCAGGGCTCAGGAGCAATGTATATATCTGAACTCCTCCTGGGCTCAGAAGTAAAGAAGAGAGAGGGGTTCAGACATATGGCAGGCCTGCGATCCTGGCCCAGCACAGCCAAAGACTGTCTCTGTTTGCCTTTGCTTATCCTGTTGGGACAGACACACCTGTCACAAGCAGAATAATGGAGGCTTCTAGAGGCCATAGGTCTCAGTTGGGTTCTAACGGTTTTCAGGGTATTATTTTCTCATACCCCTTTCCAGATGTTGACTTTGGGGGCTGCAAAGAGGGTGCTCTGGATGATGTGGCATTCTTGACTGAGCTGGGTGGCAGTGCAGAGACTACTTACATCTTCCAGCTCAAATTTCCCTTGCAGGCTTAAGAAGATGTCACCTTCAGAGTCTGTCCTCTTTGCTACTTATTTTGGACTAATAACACTTCTTTGGTGTCAGAACCTGCCTTTCTAGAAGTGACTGTCAATGCTTGTCAGGGGCACCCCTTCATCATTTCCATTCAGAGGTCTGGATCCTGAGTTCTTCTTGGGAAAACTGAGGTAGCTGCTGTCTGCTTCAGGGACAGAGCTCCCTGGGCAAGGAGAGTGATCGACAGCCAGTTCACTCTGCAGGGCCACGTCTCCTGCTTAGAGATTCTGGTTCTCAACCTCACCAAGTTTATAGAGTCAACAATCAGAAGTGAGTAATCTGACCAGCCTGTCTCCTGGGCTGGCTGGAGCCTAGAAAGAGTGAATCCTCTATTGCAGCCCTTTTTTTGTTGGAGGTTGGAGAAGGTCGTCGGGGACTGGCAGGAGTCAGATTGTTCATTCCTGGAAGAGGTTCTGGGTGGAAAAGAGGAAAACTGAGAATTGAGAAGCCAGGGTCTTTTGATGACCCTGAAGCTACTTAGCTCTCCTAGACTGTAGAGAGAAGTATTCTGGAAGCCATGGGATTAGGAACTCCAGGCTGCATCTCAAAAGGATCTTCATAGTCCAGGTAGGAAGTGACATAGACAGATACCAGGGGCCAGACCACCTTCCAAGCAAGGGCTTGGTTGAGAAGGATCTTCTTGCTGATTTTGTTGAGGGAGGTATGGAGCTGACTCTAAGACTTCTCTCCATGCTTCTGCAATGGCATGGCTACTTTCAGGGGAGGTTTGGGTCATGGCTTTGTTCTTGCTAAGAGATACTGTTTAAGGAAAAAAATCCTAGTGAGCAATTTTTAATCAGTGAATCTCTCTCTCCTTTCTCATTTACTTCTCTACCTGGGCTGAGAGAGCATCTTCATTTTGAAACAAGCCATGTCCATTGGGTATTCTTTCAGTAGCACAGGCCAAGTTCTTGTAAGCAGATGAGCATCTGTAACTCAGTTTTCTAGTTTGGGGTAACTAAACTAGAAACTAGTACTTTAGTGTACTATTAGTCAGGAAATCTGCTCTTGGGGGGGGTCCACATGACTGGTTTGGGCTCTGGCCATTTCCTTTTCCTTTTTTTTTTGGAGAGGGTTTTGTCATAAGGCACGTGCGCTCAGAGATAGAGAGACAGAAAGTGAGAAATCACCCCCCAGGGGGGATGGCCATGCTGCAATCCCTTCTCCTCCATTCTCCTCTTGGGATCTTGGACATGCACGCACATGCGCCTGGCTCATGAGGTTTTAAGCTACCGGGTCTGGGACTTGAATCGTGGTCAACTACGTGGGAGTCCAGCGACATAGCCATTATGCTAACTGCTGGTCCCTCGTTTTCAATTTTTAAACCTTTTTCTCTGTTTAGTTGACTTGGCAAGGTCTCCTATATACTTGCCTTGCTAATCCCTGCCCTGGATCATCATCCCTTTGTGTGGCCCATATTCTTAACACCCCTCAAGTGAACCTAATAATGCTTGCTGTCAGGTAGCCAGTAATGGCTGTAACAGGCTCAAATCCAGTTAAGATCCCTTCCTGGAACCAATTGGAAATCACGATTATGAGGCAGAAATGCCTGGCTAAGTGTAGCTTCCCTCTTGTCACTGAAGCTCCCATCTTGGGTATGTGTAGCCTGTCAGGCCCAAGGGTCAGCCTTCTGAGCCCAGGGATGTAAGTGAGGTCATAGAGAGTCACATGTTCTTCACATCATTGAGAGCCTGCATGCTCAGAGGCTCCTGTTAGGCACCCGAGCAGGGAGTAGTGGGAGACAGTGCCCTTTTCTCCCAGGGTGCCTAGCCCACCATGTTGTCTGTCCCTACAATGATATTCCATGGCACAGCTCTCTCCCTGAATTTTCCTATGTACTTATCATCAATGTTTTGAGTTATGGTTTGGTTTGGTTTTTGCATGCAGAAAATAGAATATGATTTTTTTTAAGAAATTAAAAAAAAATTCTGCTAGTCACATGACTGCTTTCAGTGGCTCTTTGCTGACAGTTGAGCTGACCTTGTTTTTGACTTGTTCCCACAATGGTCCCATTTTCAAGTCAGTCAAGTCCTTTGGCCCTTGACAAAGTCATACTATAGAAACGTAGTGGGGTCTGTATTCTTATGATATAGCATACAGTCCTGGAAGAGAAATGGACTTCTTGAGTGTGCTGAGAGACAGGACAATAAAGTGACTTCAGTTGATGCAAAGGAAACTTTAGTGAAAAAACTGGTACAGATAAACTTGCCGAGCACTCTTCCACAGAGCATGGATAAGTTGGGCTTGTCTGACTTCTAGAAGTCGCCAGCTACACACCTTGCCTGCCTCTGGTACCTCCTCCCTGAACGGCAGCCACTAGACCCTCTGCAGGCTCTGCTCCATAGCAGGCCCTGCCACAAAGCCCCTGCCAACTCTGGTTCCCTGTCCCCATTTCTGATGATAGGTCTTTGCTTGGTTTCCCTGACCTAGGTACCCCCTTGTTTGTTCCTAGCTTCTGCTCTGTTCCCTCTCTTACTCCATGGGGTCTCCTGACCTCCTGAGCCTTTGCTCTTCCTGGATCACCACTTCTTGTGCTTTCTTCCTCTTCTCACGTACCCACACTCGCTGCAGCTGAAATTGCCCTACTCCGTTAGTTCTTTCCATGATCTCAGCCTGCACCTCTCTTCTCAGTTTTTCTGCCTTCTCCTGGACTTTTCTTTCCCAACCCGAACTCATGGCTCATCAGACACTAACATTATCAGCATCCTGAACTTTCTTATCACCTCCAACTTTTGCTGAAACTATCAACCATTCTCCATTTTTTGCAACCTATTTTCTGTCCCCTCCCTTTTCCTAGGTGGCTGAGCCTTACAAATTCATGGTTGACAGCTTCTGCTGGACTCTCAGTATTCACTGGAAACTCGTCGTTACTCTTCTTTCTCATCTGTGCCCTTCATTTTTGCTGTCCACAAACGACTGATCTCATTGTCTGTTTCACAGAAGAGAGCCCCAAGCAAACATGTCCTTGCGCATTAATCCTCTCTGTGCCTTCATCTGTCTGTCTGTACCGATCTTCATTGCCTTGCCTTCTGTTTCTAGTTCTCTATTTCTTGAATCCTGTTATATGTCCTCCATGACTTTGCTCTCTGACTTATCCCTGTGCTCCCATTTCTTGGGGTCTTCAACCTCCCTATCTATTGGTTATGTCCCCATAGCCCACAAACAAGCAAAGTTCTCCCCAAAGTTAAGACAAAATTTCTTAAGAGTTTATTACTCCTTATACTTTTTTCTTTATCAGCCAAGCTTCTTTTTTAAAGGTATTTATTTATTTATTTGCATTTTCCTACAAATGTATACTTTACATATCAAAAACTTTGCTCATACTCCATACTTCTTGACAGTTAATAAACAACTTTTAAAACTGAATTTTAGAGATGACCTTCAAAATATTTGCTATAATTTTGTTTGTGACTATAATAACAGAGACAGTATGACTTTAAATATTTTAAAAATATTTACATGTAAACTACTCACACTGTTGAAAAGCAAACCACAGTACACAATTTACAAATGAACTTCCCCCAACTCAGTTCTGCCTACCAAGTATTCTGTAGTTTACCATCTACTAGCAAAGATCAGTCCCTTTTTCTTCCTTCAAAGTCTTCCTCAAGGTAATCCCTTGACTGTGGCTGCTCTTTTGCAATCTCTACTGATTACAATGCTGGGCTGGAAAAATCCAGGTTATTTTATGGTACAAATTCTTTCATATAGCTTCTCTAATCCTCTCTACCACGCAGAACTGTTATGGTGCCAGGAAATCTTTCCAAGAGCTTCTGTTGGCTTTCTTGAGATCTACCTTAGTTCCATAGTTTTCTGGTCATGTCTTCAGATATGACATTCCAGTCAAAGCTCTCAGCCAAGCTTCTTTTAAAAATAATCTTTTTTCATTAATTCTTCTTACTCTTTAGCCCTCTGTAGTTTTTCTTAAATTACCAGTGATCATCCAGTTGCCAAATAAATACCTTTCAGTCCTCAACTATCTTGAACTCTCCTCACCATTTCTCATCTTCTATCACTGTCTCCATGAAACACCTTTTTCATGGCTTTTATGACACTACAAGTCTCTGGATTTTCCTCTTACCTCTCAACCACATGGATTGAGCCTTCTGGAAACCTAGACAGGGGACAGGTCTGTGGCTATCTGAGTCTCACCTCTTCAGGAGGCAGAAAGATCTCAGTTGCTCCTGCTCACTAGCCTGTATCTATTTTCTTTGAGTCCCTTCCTTCTCCTGGACTCAGCTCTCCTCATGCCAAGCAGGTTGATGAGCTCCTACTTAGAGGACAGCACCTGTGAGTCCTTCCTTCTGTCTCTTCCAGTATAACATAGCCAAGTTTGCTAAGAGGCCCCATCTAAATTATCTCAATAGTGTGGACTGGGTCTTACAGCATCCAAACAATAGTCTGGGTAAACTCAGTTACCAGGCTGGAGGGTAGCTCCTCACCATGATCTCACACCAGAGCCTGTTGTGGTCTGTAAGGAGCCTGGGTGGTGATAGCACATGTTTCCATGGCGAGAATCCGGCAGATTGACTATCTGCCACTGATGACCTTCTGTTGGAGGGGGACTGGCAAGTGCAGTGGTTCATCACTTGCTTGGGCTCAGGTGATGTCAGCATTAGCTCCCTTTAACTGAGTCTCTCCTACCTGTGCTGACCATCACAACCTGCTTGCTCCAGTTTTTCCTGGAGCTGAAAGTAGACAATGGTTGATTTATTGGAGATAAGGAAGTATTGTTGAAGACATCTGTTTCAAGAGTCAGAGCCTCAAAATTCTGACCCTGCCATTATGAATTGTGGATCCAATTTCCTCAACTATAAAGTTGGGGTGAGAAGTTTCTTAGCAAATGATCTCTCAGATGCTCCACCTCTAAAGATGATCATTGTGATTCTAACTCTAAAGCTCACTCACATGAGAACTGGGGAACCTTGGGATTGGGAAACAATTGGGGCTTCCTGACTAAGAGAGGAGAAGGGGACTCACAGGCCAATGTAAGCTGCTTTGAGGAAAGTCCTCATCAGCTGGTGCTGCTTCTTGAGCCATCTGCCCATTTCTCAAACCGTGCCCCTTCCTTGGATATCTAAGGCGAGCTCCTTGTAGATGTTTTCTAGAAGTGGCCATTGGACCCAAGTGAGTAGGAGGTCTGGGGGAAGAATATTGTAAGGGGAACTGTCACTGATTTTAAAAGGACCTACATCTTCAAGAACAAATAATAAAAAATAATAATAAGCACTTTTCTTTACCAACAATTGTGTCCTGGAGTGTTTTTCAGATAAGATGGTTAAATTTACTACATGGCCTTCTTGCCCCTGGACTCCATCATGATAAAGAAGACAAGGTGGGGAAGAATTGTCTGGGAAGCACTTCTATTTAGGGAAGAATTCATATCTCTGCTTCTTATTGCATGAATACAGCCTGTCCTTCAAAATGTAGGTAACAGGGGACAGCAGATGGCGTAGCGGTGATGTTGCTGAACTCCCACATGGCTAACCGCTGTTCAAGTCTCAGACCAGGTGGCTTGAAACTCATACCAGATGCGTGTATGTGCATGCCTGAATCCTGGGGGGAGAATGGAGAAGGGATTGTGGCATGGCCATCCTCCCTGGGAGGTCATTTCTCATTTTCCCTCTCACCGTCTCTGTCTCTCTCAGGTGAGCAAGTGCACCCTAAGGCAAAAACCTCTCAAAAAATGCAGGCAACAAGTCTGAGAGGCGTAAGGAAAAAACATATTTTTAATACCAGCTACTTCCAGGTGCTAAACACTATGAGAATGTCCTTCATATGGTGATGTTCCCAGTATTTATCCCTAACTGTCCCCTCTACACACTCCCCACC